TAAAAAAAAACCAAAAAAAAAAAAAAAAACCTGGCTGGAATGCTGGAAGAGTATTCTTGGCAATGTTGACTATTTCTCAGAAGGTTTAATAATGTCATCCATTAGTTCATTCATTGAATTTCTACCTCACCTTTTGTCTCAACTATGGAAGTCTCTTACAGTGATTTTCAGATAACGAAAAATATAACACATCCTTCTTAATCAGACTTGTGATTAATTCCATCCTGTTTTATCCTGTCTCAAAAACTGTCAAACCTTCAGGAAGCTGATTACTGAATGCCAACATTGACATACCTGGACTTGCTGCAAACATTTAAACATACATAATTATATAATTTGTATTTCATATTAAAGGGGGAAGTATTTCAGCTTACTATGTCTGTTTCCTTCTTTCGTCTCTTCTTCCTTTCTGTTTTTGTCACCTAAGACAACAAGAGACAATACCAAACAGTTCAGTATTTTTTGAATACTTTGCTTCCATTTGCAAATTTAAATCAGTTTTCTTATATAATCTTTGTTTACAAAGCAAATCAAGGAGCTATTAAATTCAGACAGACCGTTCTTATTTACTGCTTCTTCTCCTGACCAAAATATTCCTATAACACTCAATATTTTATTATGTGGGCAGCACTGAGAAATGAAAGAGTTAACAAGTGTCAAGTAGAATCAGAATTCTGCTGTCATGGCTTCTGGCAGAAACAGGGGTATTTGGAAGGAGATGTTAATCTATTTTGTGTAAGTAGCAGAATGACCTAAAACTGTCCCTTCCACGGCTTAATACTAACCACTATATCTCTGCACATTTTTCCATGCTGCTGGCTCTTTCCAACATACTTTAAGAACAGAAACCTTAAAATATGCACGTACATATACAATTATGGTTTGTTCTGTTTTTCTTCACTGTGGGCCTTCTTGTAACAGAATGGTACATACACATTCTGGTTACTTCAGATTATTCATTTTCAATAGCACATTATATTTTGTGATCATAAAACGTTTTGCAGGATCCAATCTGGTTTGGTCACCCGGACCAGACTAATCTGACCCACCCGGATTGGATCCTGCAACATTATCCTGCATTTGCCTTCAGTCATGATGAAACTTTTTATACATTATTGCAAGCCGGCCTTTCAAAGTCTATTCGTCAATATCAAGAGGCAAGGAAATTATGTGGTGTTAGCAGCATAAAGAACTTTCTGAAAGAGTGCTAATGACCAGGTGGGCTGCAAGGAATATAAATCCTTCCATCTCCCACCGTTCAGTTAAAAGTGAAGAAGCTTCTTGGATGAGAAGTGAAATGTTTTCAAGGAAAAACAAAGTTCAGTTGCTTTTTGAAAAAGCACTTTTGGAACAAGATAGCTGTTCTAACTGAGGCTTCCCAAGAGCATGAAGCAAACTCCTTGTCCTGACAAAAAACCCTTTTATTAATTTACTGTGAATTTTGCTCATTCACATCCAGGAAAGGGAGGATTTATAGTCACAGACCTTATCTGGCTTGGAGAGCTGCCAGGCCGATATCTGCAAAACTTGGCAAGGAGTCTCGGAGAGTCACCAACCAATGAAGCGAACTAATGGTCTCCTGCAAACTCCCCTCCCCTTTCGCTCCTCTTTTATTTCCTCTGGGAGGGGATATTCATCGTCCACCTGTGGCCTTACTCCCAAGTTGACCCCTATTCTGTAGCTGTTCCCTTCATCTGGCAACTCTGCGCAT